CAATTTTTACCCTAGAGCAATACTGTATCAAAATTGTCTTCTACATTAGTATAATGCACACAATTATACATGTTATGTTGCAGATTTATGGACTTATGTTTAATATTTGAAACATAGTTTAATTATATTAGAAAAACTTTTCATATTCAATTTCTACCAAATAATTATTCATCTTGTGAATTTTAAGAATAGAAAAGAAAAGAAATTGTGCATAAATTCATGACACAAAACAATTAAACACATGAAAACAAACTCAAAGACAAGGAAAAAAGCCCTGAACATTGCGCAAAATCTAGCCCCACTACGGGCTAAAAAAGGTGATGAGAAAAGGTTTTTCCAAAGTTGGCACATACATAAATGGAAATGTATCAGTGGATCCAAGACCTCTTCCATTATGAAAATTTTCTCATTGCCTTTACGGATAAGTAAATAAGGTTAGATTTACCGCTATATTTACGACTGGTATGTAGAAGGTTTGAACCAGATACATAGTCAAAATCCGTATGACAGCATCCGGACTGATTAAGTTTACACTCTTGAGTAGCATTTATAAAAGTAATCCCGCAATATCTGTCACTGAATGCCACACAAAATGTTGCACATTGACTTTCAGACATTCTCTCTACGGCTGTGAGATTCACTGATCTATTTTTTTTTATTCTTTTTAACTCAATAAAGTATTCTTTTCTCGTCTGATAATTTCCATCAGCCGACTATGCATTTTGTAATAGGAAGCTACATATCGAAGCGATAAGATATATTTGCATGTCTAAAACAACATAAAAATCTTTTTAAATTAAATAAGTTTCAAAGTTTTAAAACCAATACTGAACAGCATTTACATTTTTATCTATGTGATAATTGCAATTAATCTATTTGCCTTATTAATTCAAGAGAACTTGCTTTTAAACATGATAGCTTCAGTTTCATTAAAATGTTTGCACTAATTTATCATAGGTTTCCGGGGTCAAACATAAGTTAAACATTTCTCCGTCCCTAAAACATCAATTTTCCCTTTGGTATCCCTCGTCTCTCTTTGATTTCAGAGATAAGACTCGTTGTAGTTATTTTAAACACTTTTAAGTTTGCTGAAGGCTCGATTGAATTTTGAAATAAACAAAGCGGTTATATAATGCATTTCAATAATTAATACGTATGGATTCAAATATTGAAGATGATTAACATTTTATATTTATATTTTTCTTTGCGTCATCATTTACATTTTATCATTATTAAATACAGTAATCATAGTGAATTGTTAAAGGCACTCTAATATATTGTGTAAATGAGGAGACGAAATCAGTAATGATTGTTCTATAACATTCTTTTAATAACACAAAACATGTATAATTGAAAGAGAATTATAACATAAGATTAATAGAATATTTATCAGTACATTATGAGATAATGTGACAATGAAAGAAAAGTAAAATAAAACAAATTACAATACCTAAATGTGTTCATAGATTGAAACAAACTTAGACAAAACAAACGTGAAATGGATAGGTATTATAGACATAGTCAAGACAAAATGTGTGTAAAGTGTAAACTGACATTGGGTTCCAGTACCTTGCAACTATTGGACACATGTTTTGTGTTGATTTAGACAGACTATTAAACTATTGACACTTAAGCCTTAGTTGTGTTTCTTGAATTTAAGAAATAGAAAAACGTATAACACAAATGGTGAAAACAGTCACTTACCCAATTTGATAAAGTAACAATTATACAATTATGAAATCTTAAATAATATCAAAATTGTATCAACCGTTCCTGTCAATCCATGTCCAGATGGTACGTCAAATAGATAGTAAAAGTTATTCATTAATTTGGGATGATGAACCTAAAAAGATTAAGTGGGATCATCTATGTCACGAATACTACGAAGGAATATGAAAATGATGAATCAAAATAATCATGCCGGATTTTTTTATTTGCTGGATACATTTTAATGTCAGAAATTGTAATATGTATTTGTACTCGCTATTTAACAGTAGAAAAGGTCGACACAATGATTTTAATGTTTTTAATTTTTGTTATGTTTTTGTTTTCTGTTTCTAAAAGGAGGAAATTGTAAACACAATTAAAGTAGACTCCTTGATATCAATCAACGTAACTCAATTACATCACTGCAGGATATTTTGGGTTGTCTTTTTATTGAGAAAATTATAGAAAAATAATTGTAAGATATTGGATGTCGAACTGATTTTTTATTTGGACGAATTTACAAGGTATGTATTATTAACGATTTAAACAATAACGAGAAAGAGTAATAAAATTTAGGATGTATGAACGAATATGAAAAAAGACATGTTGATTTTAAGGAATAAAACAATATGAAATGTGTTTCTATTGTGTACCAAATAATCAACAATTAAACAAAGACACAAATGAATATTCTGTTCTATTATAGGCAACAAATACTCCAACAATTATAAAATAGAAGGGTACATACAACAAACACGGAGACACGTCGTAAATGGTCGACATAGAACGAGCACCATACCATGCAATACAAAATATTTTTTAAAAAAGGTACAATTATTGATAAGACAAATATTCACCGGAAATAATCATAGGTACACACTCATCTCATAGGTTAAGCTCCTAAGTTATGAATGTAAGAAAATGTCTTTCAAACGAACAATTAGATTTGAGGCTTATATATGTATATGTAATCTGTCGGTCGAGAAATTAAAATTCCATATTCTTTTTATGCATATAATTCCCTAATACGACAAATCCGTTGTTGTTAAATATTCATGTGTACAACTTACAACTTAAGGACGAATCATGTGTTGTACTTACACCATCAACACGACTGGTGCCACGTGTGATCAGAAACTGCTTATCTACCCGAGCTCCTGAGTTCGCCACTGGTTTTTGGTATATCTCATGTTGGTCAGTCTGTAGTTTTTATGCAGTGTATTGTTGACTTTTTCGTTTTTTCGTCGTTTTTCTTGTTGTTTCTTTTTTAGGGGGTGGGGGAGGGGGGGAGCGATGGCATTGTCAGTTTACCTTCGGTTTGAGTCTTAAATATTACATTGATATCTTCCGCCTTTTTTAACGGTCAGTCATCCAGATATATGAGACAGCAATCTCATGTAAGTATACAAATTAACTATTTAATGTATCCTGAGACTCATATGGTTTACTGTATACATTCAGATTTATTATTGATTTTGTCTCTAACCCTAATTGTTTGAAAGCGGCTTTCATTTTAGAAATGATAATTATTCATACTTGGAAAAAAGGGAATTATTCTTCTGTTATATTAAAACGGTCGATGCCAATTTCGTTATATCAATATAAGAGTTTCCAGAGAAATATTGTTATAAATAAAGCAAATCTGACCAGAGATGAATATGTTCATAAGGTCAAGACCTATCTGCCCTGAAAATTTCATACGCATCAGACAACCGGTTGATGGGTTGCTGTCTCAGAATTGGTAATTTTAAAGAAATTTTACAGTTTTTGGTTATTATCTTGAATATTTTAATATATAGGGATATAATAGCTGAGGACCACCTCCGGAGCGGGATTTTCTCGCTGCGTTGAAGACCCATTGGTGGCTTTCTGCTGTTGTCTGCTCTTTGGTCGGGTTGTTGTCTCTTTGACATATTCCCCATTTCCATTCTCAATTTTATAAACTGTAAATAGCAAAATTGTTCAGCAAAGTAAGATCTACAAAAAAGTAAAAAATGACCAAAATGGTCAATTACCCCTTAAGAAGTTATTGTCCGTCATAGTCGATTTTTGACAATTTTTGGTAAATTTTTGTAATCTTTTACAAAAATCTTCTCCTCTGAAACTACTGAGACAAATTTAACCAAACTTGGCCACAATCATCATTAAGTTATCTAGTTAAAAAATCTGTCAGACCCTACCAACCAATTGCAACAGGGCTGACATCGTTAAAAGTAGAACATAGGGGTAAAAAGCAAGTTTTGTCTATTATTTTTTGAACCGTTATAAATAGAGAAAATCTGAAAGTAAAAATTTGTTCAAAATAATAATAATGAGCTCTACCAATTGTCCAAATATACGTCAAAACTGTAAGACAAGTTCTTATAAGAGTAATTGCCCATAAATGACAAATTTTACGATTTTTTGCCTTTTATCATGGAAACTATGGAAACTATGTTATTTAAAGAGAAACATTTTTTTTCTGTTATGCCTCATTATGATAGATAAATCAACACTCTTAAGTGATCAGCAAGGCAAGATCTATTAATAACCCAAAGAAACTAAACAGACTAAATGATCAGTAATACAAGATCAACAAAATAGAGATTTTTGTCATGGTCTATTCTCGTCTACAATGTTAGAGAGTGAGCTTTGTTTGATATTCCCATAGACCAAGGTGAGCAACACAGGCTCTTGAGCGCCTCTAGTGTGTTTAGGGGCCAGCTGAAGCACGTCTCCGTGTGTGGGATTTTCTCGCTGTATTGAAGATCCATCGGTGGCCTTGTGCTGTTTTCCGCTCTTTTGTCGGGTTGTTGTCTCTTTGACATAATTTGATTGATTTTGGCATGCATAACTTCCGACGGCAAATATTATATGCATATTAAAGACGAAAACAAATGAATAATTAATGCAATATGTAGGCTGTGTACTGTATAACGACCGGGATGAAAGGATTGAAATTGTTTAAATAAATTCAAATGAAATAAATTGTGCTGCGGGGACCGGAAAATAAACGGTAAGCTGGTAGCTGCAATAGGAAAACAAAAATTAGATGTACATTATCACCTGATGAATCATCAAAGATCAACTTTACATTATTGAGCTTCAACATGTAGCTTAAGGGACTTGAGACTAGTAATAGAATATTCTTTGAATGTTTTTATAAATATTTTAAAAAGGATATTGTAGGATTGCAAATGAGACAACTGTCCACCAGAGACAAATTGACAAATAAGTTAGCAACAATCGGTTACCGTAGGGAAATAATAAAGCTTGTTTCATTTTGTCCAAGAAACATGGTTTAAAAGCATATATATTTGTAATTATACATGTTTTTTATTTAACAATTCAATGAAAATTATTTCATGAAGAAATCTGTATTACCAGTGACACAAATTCACAATGCATTTGAATTTAATCGTTAATCAAATAACCATCACAGTAAATACTTCAAAATGCTCACATTAAGAAATGAAAGTGTTCTAAAATTTCATATTTAGATTTGTGACAGTAATCATAACAGTGCTGTCGGTGGATGCCCCAAAGGCTTTCTTAGTGTTTCTACTGCTGCCGTCCAGAACAGTTCCTCGCCTACGCCCACTGGATATTTCAGACTTGATGCACTGTCAAGAAGGGCTCTGAGTTGATTCGTCATATGTTTAGAGTCAATATTTTTAAGCATAATCAATAAAAATACATCCCTTCCATGCCTTCGTCTTCTCTCTTGAACGACATCAACTTCCCATTGACACCATTCACTCTTCGCAAAATCATTTGATAAAATAACAACAACTTTCCATGATTTCTCTAGATAATTATTGATATTTGCAGTAATTGATTCCCCAATTTCAAAATCTCTATGATGAATGCAAAGTTTCATTCCTTCGTCTTGTTCAAGTTTTTTTAGAAATTTTTGGTGAACCCAATGGCGATCTGCATCACAATATACAACAAATGCATGATATTCGAAATCATCTGCATCCTGCAAGGGGAGATAACCTTTCCTTCTGTTGTAATTGATTCTCCACAGGTATAAATAGTTTCTAATGTTTGTTTGACACTTCATTATTATCGCAAATATCACAACTAATACCGTAGCAGACAAAAACAAAATAATCACCGTGGTATAAATAGGATTCCATGGGGGACACTCCTTAGACGAGTTAACATACTTTTGAAATAAGGTTCCATCAAGCGCGGGTGGTGCCCTACATTTGTAGAGCGATGGATAGCTAAGAAGCTTTACTTTGGTTGTTTTAATCCATTCTGTAAACCATAGCTGATCACAAGTGCATACAAACGAATTATAGCTCAAATCCAGAACTTTTAACGATCTGAGTACGCCTGCAGGGAAAGTCTTTTTATTTATAATTTTGATGAAATTATCATTCATGTTGAGGTTTCTAAGAGTCGTCATATTCCAAAATATTTCGCTTCCATCATTCCAATCTGACAATCTGTTTGAGCTTAGGGTTAATGACTCGAGTGATTTTAAGTATGGAAAGACATTTTTTGGAAGAATAAAAAGACTGACTGAGGATATTATTAAATGTTTCAGCCTTACTAAAGGTGAAAATATTTGTTGCATCTTTGTTTCGTTTTTAGGGAAAAAATTATGGTCTAAGTTTAGAAAACTTAGATTTGGTGACAAGGAAAAAAGAGTCTGTGGATTAAATTCCTCGCGATCAAAATGGAAATTTGCAACATCCATATACAGATGTGAAAGAGATGAACTATTGAACGCATAATCGTCTATTTTTTGCAAAGGAAACCCTATTTTCGAGAGTTGTACAGAATACAAAACTGGAAGGGTTACGAATATATTTGACCGAATTCTCCTCATTGGTATTCTATTTAGTAAAAGCTTCTTCAAATTTGGCAAACATAGAAAAGCTTTTATTCTTATATCCCCAATATTATTATCGCTTAAATCTAAAACTTCCAATTTTCTTACCAAACTGACATCACGTCTATCCTTCCTACACCATTCCGGAACCTTTGGGAGAAGATTTTCATTCAAACGAAAGTCTATTAGATCCTTCGGAATGCCTTTTAAATCAATATGTTCAATCTCATTTTTATTCAAAAACAGCTTTCCCAATTTTTTTAATGGTGAAAATGTCGTAAACTGTAGTTTGGAAAAACTGTTACCTCCAATTCGAACATTTCGTATTTGACTGTATGAAAAACTTGAAAACATGTCGGCTGGAAGGAAACGCCAGTTATTATTTTGAAAATATAAAGATCGAAGATTTCTTGTTTTCATTTTCCCAACGGATACCTTTATAACATTAACATCTAAATTTGGTTCTTGAAAAATACGCAAACTATCCAGAAATGTTAAATTTACAAACGCATATTCATGAATGAATGAAATTAGATTGTTATTTAATTTTAAGTCTTTCAATCTAATGGCAGTCAAATTCTGGAATCCATTTTCACCGATATGCGTCAAATTTGTTCCGCTCATTATTACAGAAGTTATAGCATCTGGAAATTGTGGAATATAATGCAAATCTCGTCCAGTACAGATAGCTTGACGTTTCTTTGACGGCATAATTGTGCATTTACAATTCTTGTGGCATTCCTTCTGCACTACATGACTTTTGGTTATATATAGGAATCCAAACGTAATCACAAATAGGATGTATATTCTCATTTCAAGAATAACCTGTAATAAAGCGAGACCGAATAATAAATGTTAGTTCGTAAGATTAAAAGATTTAGACGCTTATATATGAAAAAAATCAGAGCACAACATAACCAAAACAGACTTAAAAAAGTCTTTACATGTAATAATTTTATTTTATCTCATTGCATTTAGGAATATTTCTCAAAAAGGGAAATTTGATTAATGAAAAACACAACCAATAACTTGCCAAATTAGGCAGACATAAGCTAGTAGATAAAATGGGTCAGTTTGCCATTCATAGCAACTTATAATATAACAAGATAGAACGATATAATACAATACACAACACTTCCTAACATATTTTGTCATCGAGTAATTGTACAAAAACTAAATACTGTGATAATAGATAACATAGCATAAATATCAAAAAATATTAAATAAGTTCTAACCAGATAGTACTTAAATAATCCTGAATAAAAAATCTGCTGTGTTAAGATGGTCTAAAGTTATAGATTCTAAGTTCTGAAGTTGTGTATTTGTTTGTGTACTTAACAGTGTTCCTTTGAAATTTGTCTTCATGCTATTATGTTTCTTTTGGTCATACGACTTTTGACGAGATTAGTTATGTTTACATCCCACTATCAGGTTATGTAATTAAAGTGTTTCTATTACAGGTGGGCCCTGTGGTGATATGCGGACGCAATAGGCTTTTAAAGTGTTGTTTTCATTCTTTGTACCCTTATATTTTTATTTGACTAAAAACTTACTTTATCGAGAAAGTTTACATAATACAGTTTGTACCATCTACTACAAAAACATTTTATTCGGCGTCTTTCTCCATAAACTATCAACTACACAAACCTTTTTGTTGGCGTCCTTGTTGGATTTATTTGAATGATTTTTTTAATGATTAAGTCAGTTGTATTGTATTGTATGTCTGTGTTACACGTTGACACAGTTTTGGCCTCTGGGTCCAAATTGTTGTCATATTAGGCTATCATGTCTGTTTGTGTTGCTCTGTAACGAGTCAGGAAATGACAGTTGTAATGAACGCATTCCGTTGGTAGATAACGTTTGATTTTTTGTAGTGTTTATAGACTTTTTATTTTACTTTGTGAAGTATGGTATTTTTGTTTTACCTATTTGGCAGAATTGTTTCAATTTTATGTTTCAAATAATGGTCAAACTCCTTTTTGTATTGCTAGGGAGAAATCAGCCTAATGTTACAGTTTATTTATTTCGATCCCTGTTAGAACTTCTTGAATTCTATTTCTCATACGAATGCCTTCTGAAAATTGGTCTCTTAAAATAATCATTTGGACGACTAACACTGCAGTAATTAAAATTAGAAACTACTATTTGAAATTTAGTGAGAAAATAAAAGAACGCAGAACTAGAAATTCATTCAAAGACTGCATACCTTGTTCAATATAAGTAGTTGATTACGGTTCCAAACTGGTCAATTTATTGCATATTAAGAGAAGCACCTGGTGTAAAGATACGACGAATTAACCTTATAAATAACGGCGTTTGAATCTTTACGATCTTTTTTCTGCATTTGTAGTTTAAATTTAAATCTTCCTCATCGAATTTGAACTTATTGACACCAATATGTAGATTTTATTTTTTTCATAATACAATTTCCTCATTATAAGTACTTTCAACAAGGAAACAATTCAGTTATACTCTTTAAAACATCGTAATAAAAATTACAATCAGTAAAATAGAGCGTGTTATTGGGTTTTTAAAATTTGTATTACACATTGTCACTCATTCGTTCATATTTCATCACCGGATATTCAATTTGTTAATTAGTTTTAGTCATTTATATGACCTTCGTTCAAAACTTGATGCTGTTGACAGATCTTTAATACTTCCTTGTTTTCTTTATGAGTAGACAGATAATGGGAAAAAAATTAAAATCTTTTTTATGTTGTAACGTTACACTACTGTCTCAGGTTCGGGTGAAGGTTGGCGTCTGTTTAACGTTTAAACCCGCTGAGTTTTTCTGCTCCTGTCGTACGTCAGGAACCTGTTGCTTAATAGTTGTATTTTGTTGGTGTGATTCATAGGTGTTTCTCATTTCTCGATTTTGTATATAGAATAGACGGTTGGTTTTCCTGTTTTAATTGTTTTACACTAGTAATTTTGGGGCCCTTTATAGCTTGCTGTTCGATATGAGCCAAGGCTCTGTATTAAAGACCGACCTTTGACCTATAATAGTTAACGTTTTATACATTGTGACTTTGATGGAGAGTTGTCTCATTGGATGATATACCAACTCTTCTTATTCAAATTTTCACATATTCCTATTATGTCTGATTTTTTTGCTCACCCAAGTATGTCAATATAACGGATTTATAAATAACTGTCATACAAGTCAGAGGTTTAGCTATAGTACGTGCAACCTTTAGTGTTACTGTTTGAAGTGAAACTTACTGATCGGTGATTGATTAATGACAAGAACTTGATTAGTCCTTGAATGATCGGTGACCCATACAATAAAGCTTATTTTACTTATCTAACAGATACTATAAAAGGTACTAAAATAATGTCTGTATTTATTACAAACATTTATTTTTTGTTATTAAAATTGCCATTTTTTTGTTGGTGTACCATTATTTAAAATCAGTTATTTCAAATGAATTTGGTAGTGTAAATTTTGTTATGAAATGTGAATAGCATACGGGTAAAGACTTAGTTGGTTTTACTTTGCATTTGTTAAAAGTCCGATCATTTCTATATTTACAAAAAATCATAAACTTTTCTTTGTTATTAGCATGATTACAAATGTAGTAACAATTGTACATCATGAATGATTGTTTTTCATAAAGTATAATGGAAGTAATAGAAAAGGTAATTAAACTTTGTCACGAATTATTACAAACATTTCTTCTTTTTTATTTTATTTCGTGTACCATTATTTGCCATTAGTCATTTTTGAATACCTCTGAGTGAGAAAATATACACGTAAAGATACTTATTTTTTTTAGTGTGTTTGTGAAGTGCTCTATACTTTTTTTTTCTTATTTTGATATAAAACCATGAACTAAAATTTTGTATTAGCATTTTGTTTACATAAGGAATCGTTTTCTCATAAAGTGTCATGAAGATAGTTTAAAGATACATAAACTTTCTTCGTATTATTTATAAATATCCCACATTTTTCTGAAAATCAGTGTGCTATCATTTTCAATTAGTCGTTGTTATGCTACTTAATGATATAATTTAAGTTATGAAATGAAATGTGAATAATAAAAAGTTAACAACACTTACATTTAAGTTTGTTTTGAATAAGAGTACAATTATCTCCTCATTTTAAACATGTTAAACAGTTCGTTAACAATTTTTTATATGATTTTTGTTTGTACATCAAGGTGGATTGTTCTCCATAAATTATGATAATTATCAGATAAAATATACTTTATATTTCATTTATATTATTTTTACATTTTATTGAAAATCATCCACCGAATTGGCAATGATTTTATCGTTTTGAACAATTCTATTAGATTGTAGCAATCGTGATATACATTTTCGTTTAGTACTCATCCGGTTTGATAAAAGAATGCCTTTATACTTTTGGCAAACGGAATTCTTATAATACAATTTAAAGTTGAGGTAGGTCTGTACATTTCACTTATTTTCTAACAAACGAAAACAATTTGAGATGAGAGAACTTTGTCCAATGATTGAATATAAAATGTCGGGCTGCTGTACATAGACGATTCGTATTTTTTCGAGATTCAGGATAATTTTAATGAATTGAAACGATACAACGATTGCGTAATTTGTGAGAGTTTAAAATGGACGCAGTAGAGTTCAATCCGTCCGAAAGGGCCCTCCGATCAGACCGATCACTTTAAGTCTGAAATGTTTGTGAAGTGTGTATACAAATACTGTAGCTATCAAACCAGGTGTAATCCACAATTTTTGAATTACCTTGGAGTTCAGTACATAGTTAATCCTTTTCATTTGCATTAATAAAACACTACTGATATTAGAAAGTCATAATTATGAAATATTTACAGTAAATATAGTGATAACGATATTTCCATTAAAAATATAGGGTTATACGAAAGAAAAATCAAGTAGTTAATATAGGGTGTTTTACAAAGTATTTCATCATACATGTTTCTTTTATTAGTATGGTGTATTTGAAAATCAATTTCGTCTTTTATACAATTTCAACGATAGAAGTTCATGTGCTCAATATTTGTACAGTATAAATAAATGATATTGAGTATACGTGTACATAATGAGACAAAAACTAAAAAAACTACAGAAAGAAAGAAAAAACACCTACCACTGACTTTCATTATCATTTAATCAGAAGTTGTACTCAATTTAATAAAACTTTTTTTCTGATGAACTCTTCTATATTCCCCTTCATCAAAAACAAGGGCGCGGGCTTGAAGTCCGAGTTATCTGAGTTATTTATGTACAGCAATAAATATCATGTCAACGCGTGTTGGGAATTCGAGTCCAACTTTTATTAACTTGGTGCATCAAATGTGGTATTTTGGATAAACTTTCATTAGAAACAATTAAACCTACTTTTTTTTAAGGTGGAGGATGTTTATGTAGCGAAACCCATAAAAAGATATATGATCAAATGAAAAACAAATAAACTAAGGTGATTTTTTTCTTTATTTATCAGATCCCGAATGCATACGTCTCTTGCCAAGATAACATCGATATACATCGACCTCCTTAATTGGTTAATGGTAACGATTTCGATATTGATATAAGCTTGTTAGAGGATTTGAACATATCATAACTCTAGAACCTCTGCCAAACTAGCATCAAATATTCACAAAAATAAAAATGACTACCAAGAAGCAACAGCAAAACAGCACATTAAAACATACCAAATTCACCAACCAACAGCCGACTAATCCGACATGCAAATAAAGACAAAACAGCAACGATAAACACACAATCCATAGCCTTTGTGTTTGATTATACCAGATTTAGATGCACGCAACCATATGTGTTGCCTATCTAAACCATGTCGTAAAC